ATGTATTATATATAAAAACAAATCCAGACCCACCCGTACCAGTATTAATCTCCAAAGCTTAGGTCCTCACAGTTCTTATAAAATTATTATCCATGAATGTGTCTAAAATTTTCTTGAGTGAATTTAAAAACTACTTAGTTTGACAAAATTAAAATAGATCAGAGGCAGTATGGTATGCGATGGGGAAAACCCTGCAAAAGATTACATTTGTAATCATTAGAAGTGGATTTGATGCTGGTTCCACCACTTGGTAGCTCAAGGCTTAGTGAGAAGCATTAGCAAAAGAAAAAGACTGTTTCATATGAAAATATCAAGAACTAAAGGATTCAAACCAAAGTATAAAAAATAGAACTAAATATCAGAACCTTATATAATCAAACTACCACCACTGGAACTATTTGTGCTTTGCTAGTTACCCATTCTGAGCTGAAAAGCATACCTTTAAAGAAGACTTACATTTGTTACCTCTTTAGCTTCCGTTTTGGTTTCTTTGTTGGTATCTTGGTTTTTAGAAGCAGCTTTAGAGGCAAACATTCCCATAATTCCTTTAGGTTGGTGGGAAATCTGTTTGGAAGTAGGTGGGCCATGACCATTGGTGGTCAACTCACTATTGGCTTGTGTCTCACTTGATACCTGAAGATTTGACTGGTCAAATTTTTCAGAAGATGAGGTTTCAGCAGAAGCTCTAGGAACTGCAGCTGCACACTGTATGGCACTAAACCTGAGACAGAATGTTACATTAATGTCAATATCGAACCTTACTTTCAAACTCTTGCTTCTTCAATGTAATACTTTTTAAGCCTAACACTATTAAAGGAGAAAATTTCAGAACTAGAATGAATTTTAGGAATTATTTTCTGCAAAGCACTCATTCGGATAAATATTAGAGAGAAGCCAGTGACTTGTCTTAGATTATATATCTAGCTATAGTAACAAGACTAGGATTGGAATCAAAAGTAGGATAAGGGAGGATTTGAGATCTTGCTCCTCAGCATGTTGTCAATTTGGTTCAAATAAATTCTTATAAAAATAAATCCAAACAAAACAAAAACCCAAGGATATGGAATCTATTATACCATATTAAATATTCTTGTTTTGAAAAAAGCATCCTAATTCTAAATAGTAAGAATATACCAACCAATAATAAAAGAATAGTAATTTCACCATACTTGGGAAACCAAATATTCCTTTTTTAATATTTTCATATTTACTCCATGTCATCCTAAAGGGCTAGACATGCAATAAATACTAACTAATTAAAAATTAAGAACTCTAAATATTAACACATTTCCTGGCAACTCTCCTGGCCAGAGTGGATCATGATTAAAACATGTAAGAAGGCCCTAGTCGGTCTGGTTCAGTGGATAAAGCGTCAGCCTGCGGACTGAAGGGTCCCAGATTTGATTCCCGTCAAAGGCACATGCCAGGGTTGCGGGCTTGATCCCCAGTAGGGGGTGTGCAGGAGGCAGCCAATCAAGGATTCTCTCATAATTGATGTTTCCATCTCTCTCCATCTCCCTTCCTCTCTGAAACCAATCTATACTAATAATAGAGGAATATGCAAATTGTCTGGGACACCGTCACAGTAACAGTAACAACCAAACAACAGGCTGCATGGGGCAACAAGGCCAGCAGGGGGGTTAGTGAGGGATGACCACATGACTGAACAGTAGGCTGCGTGGTGTGACCAGGCCAGCAGGGGGGCATTTGGGGGCAGCCAGACTGGCAGAGGGGGCAGTTAAGAGCTTAAATAAGGGGTGGTTAGGGGTGATCAGGCTGGTGGGGGGCAAGGGGGGCAATTAGAGGCTATCAGGCAGGCAGACAGGTGAGCAGTTAAGAGCCAGCAATCCCAGATTGTGAGAGGGATCCCAGATTGGAGACGGTACAGGCTGGGCTGAGGGGATTCCCCCCCGCCCCCATGCATGAATTTCATGCACCGGGCCTCTAAGTAAAAATATATTAAGAAACAAACAAAACAAAAAACATGGAAGAAGCACCCTGCCCACATCATTCAGTTGGTTGGAGCATCATCCCGGTTCATTAATGTGGGGGTTTGATCTCTGCTCAGGGCACATATAAGAAGCAACCACAACCAATGAATGCATCAATAGATGGAACAACAAATCCCCCCTTCCTCTCTCTCTCTAAAATTAATCCATAAAATTTTTAAAAAATAAAACCTGGAAGAAGCTGGGAAAACATTGCCTCCTATAACCTGTGGTCCGTAACAATCGTTTGTTAATAATTTCTAATAATACCAACTAACAGCACCAGAAAAGTATGTCCAAAACCAAGTGAAGAAATTTGGAACTGTTTGAATAGGTATTAAAGGGAACATTCATTGTAGACATGCCTGTTTTACACAAATCCATAATGTAATATCCCACATTGTGAATGGATAACTGATCTAGCCTTCTCAAACGGCTATCCTTGAAAAGCAAAGTTCCCCAACTTTTCCTAACAAAGAACATTTTATTTCCCAGTCTTTTGCTTATTGTGGGTATGTAAGAGCTCCTTGAAGTTAGGGAAATGTACCATTCATCATTTGTATTTCAGGTACTCAGTATAAGACCTGGCATATAAAAGTGTCAGGAAATATATACTGAAAGAATGATTATTTAAGCCACTGAAAGTGAGGCTTCTGGCTTCTCTCCCATCTTCACCTCAACTTGGGGTGGGAGAAGATGGAGGTTAAACTATGTGGTGAAAGCAATTATCTTAGAGATCAACCAGGCACAAATTCAAGATTAACTGCTAGAATAACTGGCCTAAGGGGGGGGGGGGGGGCG